AGGTGGTTAATTATTATCTCCAATTTGCAGATGGGGAAGCTGAGGCTCCAAAAGGTAAAATTACTTCATCTAAGTGTGTTTAACCCCTAATTCCTGATCATTCTCATCTACATACTTCCTCTCTAATGTTCCTATAAGTCATGCACCTTATTTAATGAAAATATTGGCTGGGCTTGGTGACTCACGCCTGTAATCCCAGCCCTTTGGGAGGCTAAGGAAGGCAGATTGCCTGAGGTCTGGAGTTTGAGAACAGCCTGGCCAACATGGTGAAACCTGGTCTCTACTAAATATACAAGAAAATGATCCAGGCATAGTGGAAGGTGCCTGTAATCCCACTACTTGGGAGGCTGAGGCAGGAGAATGGCTTGAACCTGGAGGCAGAGGTTGCAGTGAGCCAAGATCGCGCCATTGTACTCTAGCCTGGGAAACAAGAGCGAAACTCCGTCTCAAAGGAAAAAAAAAAAAGAAAATATTACTCTTTGAAGATCTATAAAATGTTTAAAGATCTCAGTGAGTTTTCAACCTTTTATTTACCTTTTACATTTTGAAGCTTATTTTTATGAAAGTAGTCTAGCCTTATTTTAAAAATTTAAACAGTACACAAAAGATTAAGAAAAATAAAACATGTCCATACTTCCTTATCCTTCTCTGTATTGCATCTTTTTCCAGAGATAATCAACATTAATAATATGTTGGTAATCTATGGCACACCCATCCATATATAAAAATATGCTTTATGGGATTGTTACACAATTTTTTCTTTTGTGGTTCATGATTTTATGTCCTACCTTAAGAAATTCTTGCCATCACAAAGATTTCTTTCAACCTTTTTTTTTTTTTTTTTTTGAGACAGAGTCTCGGTTTTGTTGCCCAGGCTGGAGTGCAATGAGGAGATCTCGGCTCACAACAACCTCCGCCTCCCAAGTTCAAGCAATTCTCCTGTCTCAGCCTCCCGAGTAGCTAGGATTACAGGCATGTGCCACCTTACCTAGCTAATTTTGTATTTGTTTTTAGTAAAGACAGGTTTCACCATGTTGGTCAGGCTGGTTTTTAACTCCCGACCTCAGGTGATCTGCCCACCTTGGCCTCCCAAAGTGCTGGGATTACAGGTGTGAGCCACTGTGCCTGGCCTCCTTCAACCTTTTATTTTAAACTATTTCAAACTTCTATACTTACAAGCATAGTATAAAGAGCTCTTGTATACCCTTTACCCATATTTCCCAATCCGTAATATTTTGTACACTTCTCTAATCATGTTCTTCTGTCTCTGATATTCATATATTTTTCTTAAACAATCTGCAGGTTATCCCTTAATATTTCAAAGCATGTTCCCTAGCAACAAAGACAGCCCACCTACAATCATCAAGTGATAAGTAGCGTTACTATTTAACCCACTGACCCTATTCCAGTATGCATGCTTATATTCATCAAGTCCTTCATGAATCTGGGATCTGATCAAGAATCTTGAGCTGAACTTAGCCGTCATATCTCTTTGGTCCCCTCCACTTTGGAACAATTTCTCAGTCTGTCTTTGTCTTCCAAGATCTCATTTTTGAAGAGTGCGACTCTGACAATTTTTCATTAGATTTAGGTTATGCCCTTTGGGCAAAGATATGGAAGAAATAATACTGCAGAGCCTTATAATGATGATGACTTTTTAACACTTGGCTAAGATAGTGCCTGTCACATTTCTCCAGTGAAAAGCTAGGAAGTGTGTTTATTTATTACTAAGTAATTATCCTGTTTATCAAACAGTCACTCCCCAGTTTTGCCATTCATGGGATCTTGCCTGACTCCATTTTTACTGTGAAAGTTACCAAATCCTGATTTTTAAATAAAATTCATCCTTCTTCTCTGTTTATTAGTTGACATTCAACTATAAGATAGAGCCATCCCTTCTCCTGCCTGTTGGCTTATTTATTTATAGCCCTAGGGACTTAGATTTTTATTTATGCAATTTTTTTTTTTTTTTTTTGAGACAGAGTTTTGCTCTTGTTTCCCAGGCTGGAGTGCAGTGGTGCCATCTCGGCTCACCACAACCTCCGCCTCCCAGGTTCAAGTGATTCTCCTGCCTCAGCTTCCCAAGTGGCTATGATTACAGGCATGCACCCCCATGCCTGGCTAATTTTGTATTTTTAGTAGAGACAGGGTTTCTCCATGTTGGTCAGGCTGGTCTTGAACTAAGAGATCTGAAGCCCTGGTTCTATTGAATAGAGAATGGTATTTAGAGATCAAAATCTGAGAGGCTGAAACAGGAGGATCACTTGAGTCCAGGAGTTTGAGGCTGCAGTGAGCTAAGATCCTGCCACTGCACTCCATGCACTCCCGCCTGGGCAGTTGAATGAGACCCCATCTGTACAAAAAATTAAAAATAAATGAAAGTGAACACAGTTCTCCTTATGTCTCAGGATTTTTCCATGAAACAGATCTGGGCCCTGACACTAAGATACTTCTGGGCCTCTCAGAAAGGGCACTACAAAAAAAATGTTAGGACAGGAGTGAGAGCTTGGGAGCAAAGCCGTTCACGTTCTAGCTGAGTGACTGGGGGCAAACAACAGTGACCTTCTGTGTCTAGTGCCTAATGCCAGCTATCAGCGTCATCACTCATACTTGCCTGGTACCCTGTTATACCATCCACTCCACTTGCCAGGGAAGCCCTTTGTACACTCTAGATTATAAAATCTTGTTTTTGTACTTTATATAAGTGGAAATATACAGCTTGTATTATTTTTTCTTTCCGGCTTGCTTCTGTTTAACAGTATGTTTGTGTGATTCATCTTTTTTGTTCCAGGCAGTTGTATTTAATTCATTCTCATTGCTGCATCGAGAGAAGAACCCATATTTGAAAACATTTTTGGTTGTCAGAGGTCGGGGAGGGAAGCAAAACGTGCTCCGGACATTAGTGAGTAGAGGCCAGGGGTGCCCCTCAACATCCTACAATGCACAGAGCAGCACATCCTACGACACACAGCCCTCACAGCAAGGCATTTTTCAGCCCCAAATGCCAGTAGTGCCAAGGCTGAGAAACCCTGCTGTATAGTAACTGTTGGTGGGCATTTGAGTAGTTTCCAGTTTGGCTGTATTATGAATATGACTGCAGTGAATCTTGACCGAGATATCTTTTGATGAACACGCTGCATTTCTGCTGAGTAAATACTGGGGAATGGAATTGTTAGGTAATAGGATATAGGTAGCTCAACTTTAGTAGACATCGTTGGCTTTTCAGAGTTGTCATACCAATTCACACTTCTCCATCAAGGCGTGAGGATTCCAAATGCTCCGATTCTTCATGAATTAACTTGGAATTTTCTGCCTTCCTTCCTTTCTCCTTAAATCTCTCTCTCTCTCTCCCTCTCTCGCTCTCTCTCTCTCCTTTTTTTTTTTTTTTTTTTTTTTGAGATGGAGTTTTGCTCTTTCGCCGGGGCTGGAGTATAGTGGTATGAGCTCTGCTCACTGCAACCTCCACCTCCCGGGTTCAAGCAATTCTCCTGCCTCAGCCTCCTGCATAACTGGGATTACGGGCATGAGCCACCATGTCTGGCTAATTTTTGTGTTTTTAATAGAGACGGGTTTCACCTTGACTGGGGGTTCAAGGTCAGGCTGATCTTGAACTCCTGACCTCAGATGATCCACCCGCCTCAGCCTCCCAAAGTGCTGGGATTACAGGTGTCAGCCATCATGCCTGGCCTTTATTTTTTTATTTTTTATTTTTTATTTTTTTGAGACGGAGTTTCGCTCTTGTTACCCAGGCTGGAGTGCAATGGCGCAATCTCGGCTCACCGCAACCTCCGCCCCCTGGGTTCAGGCAATTCTCCTGCCTCAGCCTCCTGAGTAGCTGGGATTACAGGCACGCGCCACCATGCCCAGCTAATTTTTTTTTGTAATTTTTAGTAGAGACGGGGTTTCACCATGTTGACCAGGATGGTCTCGATCTCTTGACCTCGTGATCCACCCGCCTCGGCCTCCCAAAGTGCTGGGATTATAGGCTTGAGCCACCGCGCCCGGCCTATTTTTTTTTTTTTTTTTTTCTTTTTTTTGAGACAGGGTCTCGCTCTGTTACCCAGGCTGGAGTGCAGTGGTGCGATCTTGGCTGACTACAACCTCCACTTCCCAGGTTTAAGTGATTCTCCTGCCTCAGCCTCCTGAGTAGCTCTCTGTCTCTTTTTTAATCCTTTCCCTACACCCTCTTCGAATTCAGCTTGTAACCACTACTCAGTGCAGCAGTGTTTATTGTTAAATAATTCTGTTCTATACTTTGTAAAAGCTGGATTGTGCCCAGGTGTGGTTGCTGTGTATAGTAATTAGAGATGGCATTTGGGAGATGACTTGTAACCAGTGTTTCTCTCCTTTAAAGATAAACACTAGGTGTTTGTGTGATTCATTTTCTCCCTCTACTACCACCAATTAGTTTTCCATAGTAAATTTTGCTCTAGTGGTTAGATTATCTGTCATTTGAGTTCTTGTTTACCAAGTATTTCCAAGTTGTACAGTACAGTTTACCCCAAAATATATATATTATATATGTATAATATAAATATATATATATATATATTTTTTTTTGTTTATACAGCACTATTTATTGAAGCTGATCAAATCACAGGTTTTTAAAAAATAGGACGGAATATTATTCAGCCAATTTAAATACACACATGTATGGACGTGCACACACACACAAATTTGCAATGTTCCCCAGGTGTCAAAAGCAACCAATCCTGTCTAATTGCCACTGAAAAGCCCTTTACTGACAAACAAGAAGCTGAGAATTTCAGATAAGTGAAGTAAACATACATGCAATGTCTCAACAGTATCTACAGAAAATTGGTATTACTCTATACCTTTATATCACCATCAATTTTTTCCCATTCTTCAGCTGTAAAACTGGCTGCTGTTGCTGCTGGTTTATCTTTCCTCAAAGCTCTACTTTCAGGGGCCAAGGCTTGAAGGTGCTTTTCACAAAATTCTGTAAGTTCAGGATAATATCCTTCCTCACCAGACCTGAGCACACAAAGAATTTTTTCCAGATGTTTAACATCTGAACATTTTTCAATGTATTTGAAATCCAGATGTTCAATGGGAATTTTAAACGTTTTTGTTGTTCCAAAACCCCACAGTGATGGATAATCTTTGGTGGTCATAGCTGGTTATCAGCGCCCCGCCTCGGGGAGGTCGAGGCCGCTGCCACAGCTCCGGCTACGGCGCACGTGACGAGGGAGGGGCGGGTCGCCCCAAAATATATTTTATATATATATATTTTTTGAGACGGAGTTCACTCTTGTTGTCCAGACTGGAGTCCAGTAGCTTGATCTCAGCTCACTGCAATCTCCACCTCCTGGGTTCAAGTGATTCTCCTGCCTCAGCCTCCCGAGTAGCTGGGATTACAGGTGCCCACCACCATGCCTGGCTAATTTTGTATTTTTAGTAGAGATGGGGTTTCACCATGTTAGCCAGGCTGGTCTTGAACTTCTGACCTCAGGTGATCCGCCCGCCTTGGCCTCCCAAAGTGCTGGGATTACAGGTGTGAGCCACCGCATCTGGCCTAACATTTTTTTTTCTTACAGTATATTACTTAGTTATAGGGAAAGTAGATCAGATGGGGCCATTGAGAAAAAAAAAAAAAATCAAGTAATTTTGGTCTCTGGTCTCTTGACTCCCAAACTTTGGTCCTAGGATGACTAGTTTCAGCTTCATCTGGGACCAAAATGCAAATTATTATTATTATTATTACTGAGACAGGGTCTTGCTCTGTCACCCAGGCTGGAGTACAGAGGCACCACCCCTGAGCCTTGACCTACCAAATTCAAGTGATTTTCCCACTTCAGCCTCCCAAGTAGGTGGCATGCATCACTGTACCTGGCTAACTTTTTAATTTATTGTAAAGACAAGGTCTCACTATGTTGCTCAGGCTGGTTTCAAACTCCTGGGGTCAACTAATCCTCCCCCTCAGCCTCTGGCAAGTGCTGTGATTATAGGCATCACAGTCAGAGGTCAACCACCTTTCTTTCTGCTACCACACCTGTCAGAAACATAAATTATTAAACTTACCTGGAACATACTGAACTGTTAGGGCAGTACCCTGTAGCCTGAATTTTAATTTATTTTATTTTTTTGAGATGGAGTCTCGCTGTCTCGCCCAGGCTGGAGTGCAATGGCACCATCTAGACTCACTGGAACCTCCTCCTCCTCCTCCTGGATTCAAGTGATTCTCCTGCCTGAGCCTCCCAAGTAGCTGGGATTACAGGTGCCTGCCACCATGCCCGGCTAATTTTTTTGTATTTTTAGTAGAGACGGGGTTTCACCATGTTCGCCAGGCTAGCCTTGAACACCTGACCTCAAGTGATCCACCCTCCTCAGCCTCCCAAAGTGCTGGGATTACAGGCATAAACCACCGCTTCTGGTCTATAACCTTTATTTCTACAGCCCCTCCAGGTGATGAGATGTTAAAGTAAAATATGCAAACCACTGATCAGTACTGTCCTTACCCTCAAGCTACAGGCACACCCAATTTGGCTGATAGTCATGGAAACCAGTGTTTTGGTAATACAATTAATGAGTCAGTCACCCACCCGGTGTTAAACAATTTCCACAAGTGAATTCCATAGTAAGTCTTGTCTTGAAATGTTCATTGGCCATGACCTATTTTTGGCAACTTATTTTTCATTTTCTAAGGCCCCAGATGTCAGGATTTTCATATTTCCAATTGCTAGATGTATGCTGATAGAAGATTGCCCCTAGCCGAATGCACCTTAACATTTGCCTATTTAAATACTTTGTAAACTGTCTTTTGCAAGTATTTGCTTGGCATCATTCAGCATCCAGGAAGTGTTTCCATTCATAACTTTGTCGCATCAAAATCAGGTACAGACCATACCAGCTCACACAGAGATGGCAAGACCAGTTCTAGACTTGCTGCCTGGGTCTTTAAAATTACACATGTTAAACTTCTTTCCCCCACTGTGAGATGAGAATTTATTTTTTATTTTCTGAAGCACAGTTTTGCTCATCACCCAGGCTCGAGTGCAGTGGCGTGATCTCAGCTCACTGCAACTTCTGTCTCTCAAGCCATTCACCTGCCTCTGGAGTAGCTAGGATGACAGGCACCCACCACCACGCCCAGAAAATTTTTGCATTTTTAGTAGAGACTGGGTTTCGGCATGTTGGCCAGGCTGGTCTTGAAGTCCTGACCTCAGGTGATCAGCCAGTTTTGGCCTCCTAAAGTGCTGGGATTGCAGGTATGAGCCACCACACCTAGCCTAAAATGAGAATTTAAAATAATGCTTTGGGACTGGGCTCAGTGTCTCGTGCCTATAATCCCAGTGCTTTGGGAGGCTGAGGTGGATAGATCTCGGGGTCAGCAGTTCGAGACCATCCTGGCCAACATGCTGAAACCCTGTCTCTACCAAAAATACAAAAATTAGCTGGGCATGGTGATGTGTGTATGTAATTTCAGCTAATGGGAGGCTGAGGCAGGAGAATCACTTGAACCTGGGAGGGGGAGGCTGCAGTGAGCGGAGATCGTGCCACTGCCCTCCAGCCTGGCGATAGAGCAAGACTCCATCTCAAAATAAAATAAACAAAATAAAATAATGCTTTGGGTTCTGTGATCTACACAGCAACTTCTTATGTTGCTAATTAGATGAATGGTATAGAAAGTAAAATGATTGGGTCCCAGGAGAAGCAGGGTTTTCTCGTGAATCCAGTTGGGAAATGTCTCAGTTACAGAAGGATTGTTGTTTTAGTTAAAGATGTGCTTCGGAAATGTCTTCTTTGTTCACATTAGTATCATTATCATTATCATGTTTAAAATAAAATTAAATTAAAAACACCATTTACAAACCACCTGGCCACCCAGAGCAGATTTACAGTCAGCACTCTGTTTCCCTGAGGCCTGAATCCTTGGATTCAGACAACCTCAGATAGAAAATACTTGGGCAGGGAAAAAGAATGGTTGCTTCTGTACTGAGCATGTACAGACTTTTTTTTTCTTTCTTGGCATTATTCCCTAATGAATACAGCATAACAACAGTTTACATAGCATTTACATTGTATTTGGTATTATAAGTTATTTAGAAATGATTTAAAGTACAAGCAAGGCTGTGCATAGGTTATATGCAAATATTACATCATGTTATATTAGGGACCTGTGCACCTGTGGACGTTGGTATCCTCAGATGTCCTGGAACTTATCCCTTTGAGAGACAACTGTACTTCATAGGCTGTCCAAAATGAATTGGACTGCCAGCATTCTATACTTTTCCATGTATTACTCTAAGGTCAGGGGTAAAAACAAATCCCTGTATTTTATAATTAAGAATGAATCCCTGAGTCATTTGACCTGCTTCAGTAACAAAGCAAACCACATAAAAATACCCTCCCAGGCTGGGTGCAGTGACTTACACCTATAATCCCAGCACTTTGGGAGGGTGAGGTGGGTGGATCACAAGGTCAAGAGATCGAGACCATCCTGGCCAACATGGATGAAACCTCGTCTCTACTAAAAATACAAAAATTAGCCGAGCATGGTGGCGTGCGCCTGTATTCCCAGCTACTTGGGATGCTGAGGCAGGAGAATCACTTGAACCCGGGAGGTGGAGGTTGCAGTGAGCTAAGATCATGCCACTGCACTCCAGCCTGGCAACAGAGCAAGACTCCATCTCAAAAACAAAACAAAACAAAAAAAATCCTTTTAAGGAAAGCCATCAGGTAGCCTCAGAATGGATACAATCTCACCGCACTTACCTAACCTTTTCTGCCAACGCAGCTGAGCCTCTCAAAGCTACTTTCAAACTCTCTCGGGGCCAGTCTTTGCTTTCATTTACCTTTACATGTCTAGGGTTGCTGCTCAAACCTGTGTCCCCTCAAGTCCTTTCCCAACTAAAGGATGGCAGTTACTTGGCAATAGACAAACAAGTCTCAGAACAATTATGAGGGTGTAACGAAGTTTGCATTGGTACACGCAATTAAATAGAGGAAAGACGCATGAGGGAATGTGTACACAACCCTCCTCCCTCTGGCACCCTTGCATGGAGGTGCTTCTCCACCAAAGGTCGTGTGCTCCTCTGGAATTAAGTCCCAGTTTTTTAGCCCAGGATGCAAGGTCTTTTCCACCTTCCTCACTGGTTGGCCTAGCCTGGCATGTAGCAAACTCTCAGTGTCATCCGCCTCCAACTCAGTTTTCCCCAGGTCTTGCATACCTTGGCCTTCAGATGGGAAGCCAAGAGGTGCTGAGTGTAAAGGTGGCCGAGAGAAAGGAGAATAGACCCAGAGTCAGGCAAGCAAGTTTTATTAACCTGCTGGGCTGCTCCGCAACCATCAGAGGAGGCAGCCCTGAGCTTACAAAATGAGGGGTTTATATGAGGTGAGAGGGGCATAAGGGAGTTTCAAAACTGAGGTCATCTATCCATTGGTAACAGGCACGGAGATAGTTTGTCAACTTGGACCTACAGTACATCATTCTGTGACTTTTGTGGCGGCAGTTTTAAGAAAAGAGAGAAACCAGGATTTTTTACAGATATGTGTCAAACAGGAATTTATGAGTATGGTTAACCAACATTTGTTTTCCCTGTCCTCCTTGGAGCTGCCCGGATGGGTGTAATCAGGCTTTGCTTAATTGTAGCACGTCTGGCAGCCTTGATATGGTGCCTAGGTAGGAGTTCAGAAATGCAGCTGCAGAGCAATCAGAGTCGCGGGGAAGGGGTCAGCTTGGGTGGAGGGGGTTTTCTAAGTCAGCTTGTCCCTAACACTGAGCATGTGGAGGAGGGTGATCTTTTCCCCCTTTGATTATTTTTTTTCATTGAGATTCTAAGTCCTCTGTCATTTCAAAGAAAGGATACTCTCTTAATGTTGGAGCTATGTTCTACATATCTTCCTTCCTAAGTGGAAAAAAAATCATTAAATAGGCCAGGCATGGTGGTTCACACCTGTAATCCCAACACTTTGGGGAGGCCAAAGTGGGTGGATCGCTTGAGCCCAAGAGTTCAAGACCAGCTTGGCCAACATGGGGAAACCCTGTCTCTTCTAAAAATACAAAAATTAGCTGGGCATGGTGACACATGCCTGTAATCCCAGCTACTGGGGAGGCTGAGGCAGGAGCATTGCTTGAGCCCAGGAGGTCAAGGCTGCAGTGAGATGTGATGGTGCCACTGCATTCCAGCCTGGGCGACAGAGTCAGACACTGCCTCAAAGGAAAAAACCCAAACACACCTCAAGTAACATCTGCGAAATAAAGACTTCTGAATGGAATACAGAGAAAGCCTCTAAGATGGCCCCAGGGGAGCAGTAACATGTCTAGCCAGATTAATTGGCTAGTTTAGGAATAATTGTTTCCAAAGTAAGTGACAAGGCAGGGCTGGCTGGTGTCAACTTTGTCCTGGGCTATAGTTAAAGGCAGGCTGGGAGGGCTGACTTGTTCAGTCTTAGTAGCAAAAAAGTGCATGGTGTCTGGATAAGCAGGTTGTACAGCCTATTAGAAAAGTGACAGGTAACAGTTTTCCTCTAAAACAATAAGTGATGTTTTTTAAAGTTCTCCTGTTGAGATTTTTTTTTTGTTGTTGAGACAGAGTTTCACTCTTGTTGTCCAGGCTGGAGTGCAATGGTGTGATCTCAGCTAACTGCAACCCCTGCCTCCTGGGTTCAAGCGATTCTCCTGCCTCAGCCTCCCGAGTAGCTGGGGTTACAGGTGCGTGCCACCACACCCAGCTAATTTTTGTGTTTTTAGTAGAGTTGGGGTTTCACCATGTTGGACAGGATAGCCTCTATCTGTTGACCTTGTGATCCGCCTGCCTCGGAAGGAGAGTAACCCGAGTCCCAGGACCACAGATGAAGTCCTCCTATTGACATTGTTAAATACCAGAATCTGAGAGTGGAGAAAATCAGCCCAAAGACAGACAAAAAAGCTGGGAAGAAAATCTACTACATTTTTCAACACACAAACAATGCCATTTGAAGTAGTGGATTGAGTATAGAACTATTACCAACATTCCTAATTTGGTTAGTGTCTATATTTCTTAATATAGTAATAGTTAAAGTCTGTCTCCTAAGTTTGTATAAATCTGACTCCCTATGTCATTGGCCAATTGGAAATAATAATGTAAACAGACTCTGTTGCCCTAATTATGTGCACTGAATGCTTTGTCAAATTGTAACTATTTTAGCATTCATTCTAAGCCTAAGGTCTTTGCCAAACAAGATATTGAATTACTCTCTTTTGTTTAGGAATAGAATACACAATAACCTAATATTTAAAAGTATTATTCAGAAGACGAAAATCCTGAGATTGAATTTTTCTTTATCATAAATTTTAGATGATTCTTTTTGCTCTACTCCATAGAAGACACTAAGAATTAGCTTGATCTGCTTTCTTATTTTATTTTTTTCTACTTGACCTAAAAATCCAGGGGTGGGTTACACAGAGTTTACTTAGGAGACTTTGGTAAGGGAGAGAGAAAAATTATATACAATCTGGAAACACAAAACATGTAAACAATGAAAGCTAGAAGAATGGAAGCGACAATGTGCTCAGGAAATGATGTGTCATTTTGTCGGAGGTCAGGGTGCCCTGAGTCCAGGGAGGGTAACACTGGTTTTCCTGACCATTGTGAACGCAAGGAATCCGCGTGTTGTCCTATCAGTTCCATTCAGGGCAGGGTAAAGACTTTTCAAATGCAAGAATATGTGCATTAAAGGGCATTCTTTCTTCGTGGGGTGGGGTAGTGAATGCCTTGGGGTTCAGGCACCGAGTTGTTTAGGCCAGGTAAATAGTGACGGGAAATTGCCAGGCAGTCAGTGGTGAAGTTGGTATTTTGCAAGTCATTTTACGAGAATACCATATAAAATGCATTAATCTGTATTTCATTAAAAATTAGCTCGTGGGAAGGTGAAAAGTTGAAGACAAGAACCTTCTAAGTAAAACAGCTTGATATTCCTTGGCCAGAACACAGTATTTACAAATAGGGGATTAAAACATTCACTTCCTAGGCACTGGCTAGGCTTAACTGGGCAGGCATATGACACTTCTGAGCATTCAATCCCGTTCTCTGAGTGGTTAAAGCCTGAGTGCCCACCAAATCCCTATCTCAGCATCATCTGTGACCAAGATTCAAATTCTTTCCCATGAAGCTCTAAGGTCTCATCTGACTCAGTAGATGTAGCTTATGACTTGCCCGTTTGACCCCAGTATTCTAAGACAAACACCACAGCGGATGCTGGAAGTGAAAGGAGAGGAGGGGTTTGTTTCAAAGTCAGGGGCCCAAGGTGCCCCGGCAATTTCAGACTCCCTGGGACCGGAACTCCTCCCCCAATAAGCTCTTGTTTTTGCAAAACAGTGGGGTGGGGCCAAAAAGCATTACAATGGAGCTGGGATGGATGAGGCTTTCTTTTATTTGAAATGTCACTTGTGTCAGGTTTCATGAAACAGTGCATTGGAAAACAGAAGCTATGTTCTGTCCCGTGGGTTGCGCTGGAAGAGCCGAGAAACCAGGTTGTGGATCTTTGCCACCAACAACAAGAGAGGGCACGTTCAGCCGCCCGCTAGGGGACTAGCAGGAAACGGCACGCCTGCCAGAGCTCATCACTTCAACTCTGGCTTTCACTGCGCTCATTCTCTGAATGGCAAAACGGGGGGCGGGGGTGGCATGGGAAATGAAAGAAAAGAGATCCGGGAAAGTAAATCTGCCCGGGGAAAGAGAGTTACCGGAGTTTTAGCAAAACAGCTAGCAGATGTAGACGGGGAGGCAGAGGGAGGAGAGAAGGCTGGGCTTCAGCAACCTGCCACGGAAATTCAAACAAAGGAGGTTTGAGAGAGGCGGATCCGGCTGTAATATCGGCACGGGGACACGGAGACAGCTGCTGGACTCTCGGGATGAAACGGAATCGATTCCCAGCGTCTCCATCGGGGCAGGAATGTCTGGAGTATGTTCCAAAATAAGTCAGAGAAACGAGTGAGTTTGGAAAAAAGACTTAGAGATTTTGACGGTCTCTGACATTTCACCCTTCTTAGAGGCATGCCTTTATCAATGCGTTACCTCTTTGTAATTTCTGTCTCTAGTGTAATTATTTTCATCGTCTTCTCTGTGTTCAATTTTGGGGGCGATCAAAGCTTCCAGAGGCTAAATATCTCAGACTCTTTGATGCTGACTCGAGTTTGCACATCTTTTATCAATGGGAAAACACCTTTCCTGTGGAAAAACAAACTAATGATCCATGAGAAGTCTTCTTGCAAGGAATACTTGACCCACAGCCACTACATCACAACCCCTTTATCTAAGGAAGAAGCTGAATTTCCCTTGGCGTATATAATGGTCATCCATCATCACTTCGACACCTTTGCAAGGCTCTTCAGGGCTATTTACATGCCCCAAAATATCTACTGTGTCCATGTGGATGAAAAAGCAACAACTGAATTTAAAGAAGCAGTAGAGCAACTGTTGAGCTGCTTCCCAAATGCTTTTCTGGCTTCCAAGATGGAACCAGTTGTCTATGGTGGAATCTCCAGGCTCCAGGCTGACCTGAACTGTATCAAAGATCTTTCTGCCTTGGAGGTCTCCTGGAAGTACGTTATCAACACCTGTGGGCAAGACTTCCCCCTGAAAACCAACAAGGAAATAGTTCAGTATCTGAAGGGATTTAAAGGGAAAAATATCACCCCAGGAGTGCTGCCCCCGGCTCATGCAATTGGACGGACTAAATATGTGCACCAAGAGCACCTGGGCAAAGAGCTTTCCTATGTGATAAGAACGACAGCACTGAAACCGCCTCCCCCCCATAACCTCACTATTTACTTTGGCTCTGCCTATGTGGCTCTATCCAGAGAGTTTGCCGACTTTGTTCTGCATGACCCACGGGCTGTTGATTTGCTCCAGTGGTCCAAGGACACTTTCAGTCCTGATGAGCATTTCTGGGTGACACTCAATAGGATTCCAGGTACGTACAGTTCCCTATTTCATGCAAAAGAAATGTGTCATATTTGAAAGGGCTTTGGAATAACCAGCCACTTTTTATTAGGAAGTAGAAGATGAAAACTGGAATATACATATAGTCCTTTCTAAATGCAGAATGATTTTATTTTTTTGAGACAGGGTCTCACTCTGTGGCCCAGGCTGGAGTGCAGTGGCACCATCACGACTCAATGAAGCCTGGACCTCCTGGGCCCAAGTATCTCCCACCTCAGCCTCCTGAGTAGCTGGGACTACAGGTGCACACCACCATGCTGGGCTAATTTTAAAAAAATTTTTGTGGAGACAGGGTCTTGCCATGTTGCCCAGGCTGGTCTCCTACTCCATGGCTCAAGCTATCCTCCCTACCTTGGCCTCCCAAAGTGCTGGGATTATAGGCATGAGCCACCATGCCTGGCCCAGAATGATGCTCTTTATGTGATCATTCATATGTTCTAGCAGTGCTAAATAATACTTTCCATGGTACCACTTTGTGGCCCATCAAGTTCTTTTGCACACGTCACCTTATTGCATCTTTACCACAATAGCTATTATTGTTCTCAGTCTACACTGGTGTTCTTTCTTTCCCCTAAATTTGTCAAGCTTGCTCTTACCCTAGGATCTTTGCCTGGGCCACCATCCTGCCTACTCCAGGTCTCCACAGGCTGGTTCTCTTCAGCCAGATCTCAGCTCTCAGATATCAGCAGCTCTGATATGCCCCCTCGCTGGCCAGCACACCACCGTTTTTTCTTCAAAGAGTTTATTGCCATGTGGAATTAGGATGTTTGCCTATTTTCATGGGTTTGTTCTTGGTCTTCTCTGCACTTGTTCCATGAAACCAGAAATATTTTCTATTTCATTAAATGCTCCTCAGTGCCTAGGACAGATAGTAAATGCTCAAGTATATATTAGATGAATAAATGAGTGAGTGAATGAGTGAATGAATGAGTGGTAAAGCATGAGGCTTTCCTATGGCACCAGAGTTGTCTCCCTAACACATTGTTAAGCTGAGAAATATTTGGACTCATGCATGTGCTGTATTGTACGTGTAGGATTTTTAAAAATACATTTTATTTCAGATAAAATAATGAGATTTTAGGAGAAACCCCGTGCTTTCCCATCAAAATTTTCCTCTCTTTACTAATTTACCAGACCGATTGTTTTTTTAAGTGTGTAAAACATGATAGGATTTCTTCTGAAGGAAACAGTGTGCTTTGGACTCAATGAAAAATACAAAATGGATCTCTGATGAACTAGACAGCATTATTATAGCAAGAGAAAAGCACCCATTGTTCTGGCTGTTGGGGGGCTGCCAAGTTGGAAGGGCTGGTAGGTGCTCTCAGGCTGCAGGGCAGGGCCTGCTGGGCGATAAACATGCCGGCATTCTCTGGAAAATACCATGCCTGGTGTCTGAGTCTCAGAGTGGTTTGCCTAGTGAATGGGACTCACTCATATGCTGCACACACTCTCCTCATCTGCCTCTCCCTGGGCTCATCCTGTTTTCACCTGTGATCTGTTTTTTCTACCATTCACATATCATTGAGGAGCATTGGGTACTTAAGAGTGATTTTCATATTTAAATATTATTTCCTTTCTATTTTCATTCTTTCCTTAAAATTCATAACAGTTGGGTACCAGTCAAGTGGTTTCTTCAGTATTGTGCTGAGATGAAGGCATTTTTTAAGTTAGCAAAAGTCTGAATTGTTGCCTTTTTTTTTTTTTTTTAAGAAAAACATGGATTTTGGTTTCTATTAGATGTAAATTTCTGTGGCTACTTTGCCAGAAGCCTGGTCAGTTTTGTCAGTGTCAAATAATATAAGAAAATTAAGGGAAAAAGAATTCCCCTTTTTTCCTTACCCCCTTTCCGATCTCTTGGAAGAACAAAAGAGTGATATCTGGATAGATATAGGAGAGAATGGTATTTAGATAGTGATAGGACAGATGGTATCTGGATGGGTATAGGAGAGAATGGTGTCTGGATGGGTATAGGACAGAATGGTATCTAGATTGGTATAGGAGAGAATGGTGTCTGGATGGGTATAGGGCAGAATGGTATCTGGATGGGTATAGGAGAGACTGGTATCTGGATGGGTATAGGACAGAATGGTATCTGGATGGGTATAGGAGAGTGGTGTCTGGATGGGTATAGGACAGAATGGTATCTGGATGGGTATAGGAGAGAATGGTATCTAGATGGGTATAGGTGAGGGTGGTATCTGGATGGGTATAGGAAAGAATGGTGTCTGGATGGGTATAGGACAGAATGGTATCTGGATGGGTATAGGAGAGAATGGTATCTGGATGGGTATAGGACAGAATGGTATCTGGATGGGTATAGGACAGAATGGTATCTAGATGGGTATAGGTGAGGGTGGTATCTGGATGGGTATTGGAAAGAATGGTGTCTGGATGGGTATAGGACAGAATGGTATCTGGATGGGTATAGGACAGAATGGTATCTAGATGGGTATAGGTGAGGGTGGTATCTGGATGGGTATAGAAGACAATGGTATCTGGATGGGTATAGGAGAGAATGGTATCTGGATGGGTATAGGAGAGAACACTCTTTTTCTTGTAGGTTTGTGCCATGGCATACTGGCTTCTACCTTCTCACAGCAACAGTGTGACCCCATGTAAATCACAGAGCTTCATGGGACCTCAAATCTCCCCAGCTACAAAATGGGGAACCCAAGTAGAAAGACCCCTTTCATATATGCATACCTTTCTTTGCAAAAGACACAATGCCTAGAACTGCGTAAAGGCCTCCTACGCTGCTACGAGGAATCTGTAGAGAGAAAGGTGGAAGTGCTAGTGAGCCTGTACCATGTATGCCTGTCAGCTTTGGTGAGTGCATCCCATTTCCCTTGAAGGAATTGGAGGCAAGAGCTCCTCCAGAGAGCAACTGCCTGGAGAGGAAAGCCAGTGCAACCCATGTCAGTGCTCTGTCCTGTCTGATTCTGCAAAGGATACCTTTCAGGATAATGTGGCATGTCCTGGGGCTTTGGCTCCTTCCTTTCTTAGACTCTGGGCAACATCCTGGTTCAGGGAGAAAGGATATCCTGCTTCTAGATAGGGCCTTCCTAAATTACAAGTGAATTACAGCAAACAAACCTTCAAATGTCCTAGCCCTAGCGGTGCCTCTCTCTACCTTCAAACGCAATGTAAAATCCAATCCCACGCTCGAGTAACTGCCATGGTTTTACACTTGAGCATTCTTTCTGATTTAAGATTTGGCTCATGAATCTAGTTCTTATATAACCACACAGCCTTCATCAATATCAGCTCTTCTATTTACTTTTTTTTTGAGACAGTCCCACTCTGCAGCCCAGGCTGGAGTGCAATGGTGATCTCAGCTCACTGCAACCTCCGACTCCCAAGCTCAAGTGATTCTGAGCTTCCCAAGTGGCTGGGATTACAGGCCTCTGCCACCACGCCCAGCTAATGTTTCATATTTTAGTAGAGACGAGGTTATACCATGTTGCCCAGGGTAGTCTGGAACTCCTGAGCTCATGTGATCTGCCCCCTTTGGCCTCCCCAAGTCATGAGCCACTGCACCCAGCAGTGCTCCTCTGTTTTCAGTGTCAGGTTTTAAGGGCTAAAATTCTTCTGTCCATACAGCGTAAACATCTTTTTTGCGAGTGTGCAAGGGCAGGTGCTGGTATACATTTCTTCCCTCAAAGTGACTGCCTCCCTCTCTCCTAAACACCTTAAATTAAAATGTGTTGGCAAGACCCTGTGCAGGCATTTCAAGTTTCCCAAAGCACCCCCAAGAGCAGTGTAACCCAGAAAATGATTAGTATCCTAGAATTGGCGAAACTAAATAGAAAGGATATTCATAGAAGTAGCACTAAATCACATAGCTTCATGCTGCCTTTTTTTTTTTTTATTTTGTCTTTCTACTGAGGGTGACTTCTGTCTTGGTTTTCAACCATTAGGCTCTTTCCACACTGTTAGAAATGGTGATAGAGGTCCTTGGGGACCCCAGTCTCACACTCCTCTTCAGGGGAACCAGGTAGAGTGGCTGTCCTTCTGTTCTGTGTGGCTTGTGCACAGATGGGGGGGTCTAGCCCCCTCACTCCTGGCCACATTCTCAAAGGAAATTCTCCAGGATCACAGTTTTCTCTGACCCATACTACAGAGCACCATGCTGTGACAGCAGTAGCTTCCCTGACTTCCGGGGTGCCCGTATATTTTCTAACGTCTCAAATCTTTGTAATGATTACTCTGAGTCACTTTAAGAAATGCCCATGTGCTCTAGCTCTTTTGGCTATTTTCCCAGCATTTTTATCTGCCTACTTTCCTTAAGACAGAGCACCTGAAGCCATTTAGATTTTTGCTTTATGCTTTGTGAAATCGTTCATCATCTACCCCAGTCGCCGCTGGTCTAGCTTCTTCCCAGTCCATTACCACAGCCAGACTGTCTTCTTACACTTCAGGGCAGCTTGTCTTTAAGGAAGAGAGTTACCCTCCTCTTTGGCTTCAGCTACTTTTTTTCCCTTGCTGCACTAAGTGTGTTTTGAATCTTCGCTCGTTCATTACCCTGACCTTTCTCATGCCATGATGTTTTCCTTCCGTAAGAATGTTTTCATTTGTCTCTTTTCCTTTTTCCATTTGGTATACGTTTGTATTTTTTTTTCAGAGCCCCTTTGTCAAATTCTCTTGACCTCAGAAGGGACCACATGATCCCATTTCCTCATTTTTAATTCTAAAAATATCATGTTTCCTACTTTGATTTATTTTTCTTTTTAACTGTGACTTTTATTTACATGCGCACATTCTTTGGGAGGGTGTTAGAACTCTTTCGGTTGCAAGTGTCAGAAACTCAACTCAAAGGAGCTTAAACAAGCAGTCAGTCGGGTCACATATCCAAGATGCCTAAGGGAGCTCCCAATCAAGCCGGATCAGCGAGTGAAACAGTGTGCTCAGTACCCTTTCTTGCTAGGTTGTCTCTCTGTGGTGAACAACTGTCCCCGTTTGCCCAGGTCTGAG